AAAACTACTTAGAACAATTCCAATATTTGTCTCCTTCATCCAAACACTGATTCATCATTCAAAATCAAATTGTTAAATATTTAGTGACACATTCTCAGACTAAAACTGAAGCAGTAGCATGAAAAAAACCCTATCAAGTCCTATTTAATCATTATGCCAGTTATATCCCAGACAAGATAACTGATAGAGCAGTGCCACACAACAGCCTGTACTGCAAACTTACACAGTACAGCTGCCACAGAGAGGGCTGCTACAATTATCTTTGAAGACCCACCACAGGCCAAAGCTCTCAGAATTACAAAAGGTTTACAGCAGAATTGCTCGTATGTGCAATGACTGGTAAAGAAATGCAATGTAACTGTTTACTCACTAAATGGATTAACTCCTTAGCAAGCTGGGCAATGGACATCTCAAAGCTAGTTCCAATGTTATAAATTTCACCTGGCTTCCCTTCCTTCAGGACAGTAAGGAATGCTTCGACCACATCAGTTGCATAAAGGAAATTCCTTCTTTGAAGTCCAGAACCATGAATACAGCTTAAAAAACAGGAAAAGCCAAGAAATTCTTGTTAATCCTTAAACAGAAGCATTAAATTTCTTAGACTGTTTTAAGCACTTTTGCTGTTAGCTGTTACCTGACAGTACCATAAGTAGCTAACATTAAAACAATCCTTTTAAGGTAATCCTATTATTAAAATAAGCAATTCATAGTTTTGAAATTATTATTTTACAAACTACACCATGTATTTACAACTGTAATTACAGTTTTATAGCACAAATAGCAGAAATGAAAAAGCAGATTACATACCATTTTCTGTTCTGTTGCAACAAAGATATAAACTTTGGAATAACCTAAGAAATTGAACAAAAAAATGTTACTCCACTATTTTAGAAGCAGTTATCCCACTAAGAACATGTGGCTTGACCAGAAAGTATCATTAAGTGTTTTAATAAGACCTTTTGGCTATATTTTTAAGTTTTCTTAAGTCTAATCAAAGAACAAACCAAGCCTAGAAACTGCAGGGACTTTTTATCCAAGAGTAGATGCCTCCACTTGTGTTGTAAATCTTATCTTTGTGGTCAACCATTACAAATTAGTTACAAGCATAACATTTTTACAAAAGAAAATGGTCCCATTAATTTTCCACACACAGGAGTGCACTACAATCTAACTAGGGAACTATTGCAAGCAGTTTAGAAGATGGTTTAAACATCCAGCAAGTTGCAGTAAATCTATAGGCAAGAAGCAGGAGGCATTAAGATAGTTACATTTGGAAGAAAACCAACAGAAAGTTTCAAGATAAGTACACAAAGATCAAGTGACAGCCACTAGCTTGCAGCATAAAGAGTTACAATATTATGTTCAGTTAAAGGATAGATCCATTCATCATGTTCCAGGAACTTCAGAGGAGTTGTCCCTGGTAAGTTTTTAAACTGAAGCTATTAGGAAGCTATTCTAATGCTTTGACTTTTCTTAACTTACTACTCTAAATTTAGGTACAGACACTAGGTAAAACTAAAGATCTATCTAGCCTCATGTTGTGTTCTTCACAGTAACTAGAAGTCATTTGAGGAAGAATATAGCTAAGCTGAAAGCAAGGAAATAGTGATAGATTCCCCCAAATACAACCCAATCATCATGCAAGCTATAGCCAGACATTTCCCAAGCCACAGGCCAGTGAAAAACATTAAAAAATATTGTTCATCTACCTGCAATAAGAGGGAAAAGTAAACTTGCAAAAATCTCCCCAACACAAAAAGCAATTCAAGTGAAACAATACCTCACTACAACTGCAAAATATAGCTTATGGTTCACACAAACTCCAAAGGGTGGTTATCACTACCATTCCACCACTGTACCTCCACACACCAGCTCAGCAGAACTTGGTTTTGCCTGCAAAGGCATCTCCCTCTCACTAATAACCTTTTAAATAGCTACCCTGCAAGGTATGTATGGACATATGCAGTGACCAAGTCGCTCTGCACCACTTCTCACCATGTATTTTAACTTCAAAATTCTATTTTCTGTACAGGTTTGAACATTTTTCTAAACCAGATATACTGCTTGCCCACAATTTACTTGGTTAAATACTTACTTCTGTTACTGAACATTCCATAAGTTTATGATGCCAAATTACATTAACTCACATGTCATGTGCTGTAATTTGTAGGGCAGACATAGGGCAGTTGGAAAAATTGCAGAACAAAGTCATTGCAGTAAAATTTATATAAATAGCTAGAAATCTCTACTTGGTCCTTTAGTGACAACCAAAAAACGTGCTCATTGTGCTGATAGTTAGACATGCTAGTGTGAGATCAAAATACTTAATACACCTGCAAGACAATGTTTCTGGAGGTTTGTTTGTTTGTTTTTTTTTTCCCTCTCCCCAGAGGTCAGACAGTCAGTCCATTCTTCTGGCCAAAACATATGTAATATCACTACAGCCCAAAATTATGGTATACTGAAGCTCAAGGTACAGGTTTAACTTACTTTTTCTGGATACTGGTGTGGTCCATAAACATTACTGCTCCGTGTGATAACAACTGGGAACTTAAGAACATTAAACACGAATGTGAATACATAATATATACCAGTAAAAATCTGTAGGCTTCTTGCTGATCAGTAAATAATAAGCTGTCACACTCACAGTGCTTATCAAAGAATCTGCAAGCCCTTACAAACATGAACTAATTAAGCTATTCATACTTCTGTCAAACAGGCAAGGGCCTCCAGCCTTCTCAGTCTGTTGGAAGCACCACAAGTGAAAGATATTTTGTCATCTCTCAGCCTTGCTGTGGAACCACCATCTGACATTACATACATGTGTCTGGTTGATTGAAGACTGGTCTACTACTAATTCCACAAAAATGTTTCACCGTCATTAGGCTCTTATTCAAGTCAGCTTTAGCAAAAACATTGTAGAAGGGCATGTCAAGAGCAAAACACTGAAGTATTGTTTAAACAAAAACATTTAAAATTTTCAAATCTGAGTAACTGAAATGGGTTTTTCCTTTTTTTTCTTTCATTATAAGCATAGTTTTAATACAATTCAAACTGATATTCTACTTCTGTATAATCAGATCTCCTTCAAGCCTAATGTTGTTATTTTTTTAAATGTCCTCTGACCATATTATCAAAGAAAATATTTAGATATTACAGTTCAGATTTTGAAAAGAATTCTGAAACATTTGGCCTCTCTCCACTGCCTGGCTGTGTATCTCCACCACCAAGTGGCAGGCATCTTGACACCTCTTCAGTAAAGAAATGGCACTGTGTATATTAGCACTGATTTTAATTTTATACTCCTACATACGTAATACAGACTCTTAAGTATGAGCTTTGGAGTTTTTGAAGCTTGCATCAACTTACTTGGTACCTTTCCCAGTAAGACTGAACAAAACACTCTGCAGCTGCTTTAGACGAGGCATAGGGATTTGTTGGACGTTTTGGTGAGGATTCATCAAATTCCTAAGATAAAAAATGTGCATTACTCAGTTTCTTTTGCTCAGGTAAGTCTTAAAAGTCACACAAGCTGCAGGTGCAACTAAAATAAAAATCACTCATTATCCAAGCACACCAGTCTAAGAAAGTCATCCTTCCACTTACAGCAGGAGACCAGTAACAAAAGACAGTACCAACAGCAATATTTTTGTACTTCTAGCAGGGCAAGTCACAGCAGCAGGTCCTTAGATTTTTATCTTGTAAAATCACCATTGCCACAGGGAGGTTCAATACTTTTCAGGCTCATATTGCTTCAGAGTGCCACTGCACCACCACTAGTAAAATGACCTTTCAGTCCTAAATAAAATGGGTCCATACTCCATTTTCTATCAAATTTATTTCTATGAGAGTAGAATTGCAGCCTAAAGCCCTCCAAAGCAAGGCTTCAACTGTTCTGACCTGTTCCAGAACAGGCAACTTCATGCCTAACCTGCCACTTCTGTCTATTGCTCACTGGAAAAAAAAAAAAAAAACAAAAAAACAAAAACACCCAAGCAATAATGAACCAAAGAAACGAGAGATTTTACACTGGTTGAGATGCAATTTGTAACAAACACCTTAACAGGTGACTAAAAGACTCACTGTTCTTGCCTGACCTCTGTCTCTAAAATTAACTTATCCCCATTTACCTTCTGACCTTCCCCCTTCCAATCTCTCTTCAAGAACTACTACTATGATTCACAAAGCAAATGAAAACCATATCAAAATGCTCATTTAAACAGCCAGAGGCAGACAAAGTTCACTTGTGATCTTGTCTCAGCCAAATCACTGTTCTACATACAGGAAAACACTTTGCCTTAGGTATCATAAGTCTACAGACTGAAGTTTTGTTGCAACAGTAAGAAAGTGCACATGACTTTTCTGAAATACATTAGTATTTTCACAGATATCAGTATGGCATGAGACTCCTTGGCTGTTATTTATGCCTTTAGAATGACAAGCATTCATAATCTGTCTTTTTACTGAGCTAAATTACATTTCCTGAGTTAAGGTCAGGCATAAATTAGCAAGAATGAAAAAGATTACCATAAGTCAATGAGAAACATCTGCATATTTCTTCCAGTAATACAGGAACTGTTTCCCATTTGAACTGTCAGTACCTACAGTTCTGTTTGTATTTTAGCTGGGGTATAAAGCAGTTCATAGTCAAGGCAGAGCAGGAAAAACGTTTTTTTAAAAAAGGAGATCATCATGCTGTTCATATGACTGAAGTCTCATGAATGTTCTCTAAGGCAAATTTCGTTTAATATAGTCCTTTGATGCTACCTCTGAGTAATCAGTATTAATGACCTAAAGCAGCGAGATGTGTAACACATGTTCAATATAAAACATGCTACAAAAAAAGACAAGTTTTGATACTTAGCTTTCTAAAAACAACCAGTGCTTGTTTACAAGTTCCAGTATTGTGAGACACAGCTCAAAAGCCATACATTTACAGGGGCCAAGGAAAGTCAGAGTCATTTTGTTAAAAGCAGGTGAAGCTAGAAGGACCCTCGTGCACTCTCAGACTCACCCCATCAGTGCTGCCTCCATACACTTCATCTGTACTAACGTAGACAAACTTCTCCACGTTGGCCTCATGTGCAGCAGCAACCAGCACGTTAGTGCCATACACATTCACATAAGTGAACTCCAGGGCACGCCAAAATGAGAGATCTACATTGAAAAAAATCCAGACAATTCTGCTTACGTGTAGGCAAGATGTGGCTTCCTACTGAACCATACTATTAGAGGTTGCAACATAGACTGGGGCTTTATCACAAGTTCTTTGACTGTCATATATCAAGGTCATTATTCAATGAAGGCACTTTTTACACTTACCTGAAGACAAAAATCCTTGCTCTCAACAAGTGACTGGAATGAGGAGCTAAAGCTTATTAGCTTTTGCTGCTTCTCTTTGAAAATGGCATTATCTAACTAAGTGGCAGCATAACTACTTCCCCTCTCACTAGGAAGGGTCAAGCTCAGTAGGAAAAGTTACTATTCTAAGGCAGCTGTAAGGTGCAGTAACACAGAGTAACAAATTAACCACTGTTAATGAACTAGCACCTCTTAATTCTTAGCGCTGTCCCACTGACCTCACGACTTCAGGCAATCACAACTGACAATTTTGCCAAGTATTTTCCTGAAGAATTCATTGAGGATTTCTTCTCATGATGAAAGGAGTATTAATCACTCACACCACCATTAATGGTGTTACTAGTGGTAATCCCAAATAGGCACTTAAGTGTAAATCATTCTCTCTCTGTTTATAATCCAGGTAGGATTCTGAAGGGAACTTTGCTTAATCCTTCAGCTCTACACTATTTTTCCTGCAAGGTTGGAGCAAATCAAAACTAAAGACTACATAAAAACTCTTCTTCTGTTGAATTCATGACTCCATCAGTACACTGTCAGTCACATGGACAGAGAGAATTAAAAAAATTGAGAAAAAAAAAAACAAGCATTATAATTTATGCACTATCAAAACAGACAACAGTCAGATGAAGTAGTTTAATTTAAGGCTGTGAACCCCTTAAAAGGCCACCAAATCTTGAATCATGTTGTTTGCATAGACAAACTGTATCTGCTTTGTAGGAAGAGAAGAGACAAAAAAAAAAAAACAGTATATATTTCAAAGAAATATACTCATGGAAAATACCAAAACATTCAACAGTGCTCACCTACATGTGTTTGGGCTGCAAAATGAAGGACAATATCTATTTTCTCAGTTTCAAAGAGCTGTTTTATAAAATCAGGTTCACAAATATCTCCCTAAAGAGAACAAAAAAAAAGTTAACAGGTTATTTTTGATAGAAAACATTAAGCTTTCATTTTTACCAAGCATCACAAAGTATTACAAAGGAAGCACAGGATAGAGAGCACTACCAACTGAGTTTGGGGCAATTTATCAACGCCAGGCCTAACACAAGACCAGATATAAGTTTCAAACATTTTGAGCAACAGCCCTAGCAAACCTTATTTTACTATTTATATTACTACTTAACATCAGAAACAGCATTGCCCCCAAAATATACACAACAGAAGCCCAGCGTGTAGCCCGAATGCTGAGGTGGGAACAAGTTCCCACAGCAAACAAGAGTTGCTGGAGTCTTGGCTATCAGACAGTGACACCTAGTGACATTTTAGAAGAAAGTGGATTTCTACTTCTGTCAAAATACCAGGATTTGGGGTTTTGTTGTTTGTTCTGGTAATTTCTAAATATATCACTTTAAAAAAAATAAAAGTCAGGCATCATCACACAGCCCATTCTTTAATTTGACAGAGAAGCAACAGCAGCTTTTAAAGGTAAACACAAGCTGAGAAAAAGCTTTTGATAATTATCTGTCAGCTCAACTTAAAATAGACCTGAGAAGAAGGGATGTCCTGGGAAAGATGACTTTTGTATTTTCACTAAGAAAGCAATTAACTAAAAACAGTTCAAATGCACCTAGGTTTTAAGAAGATCTCAAGGTACAATTCTGAACAACAGTCTCAAAGCACTTCCATATGTCAGAAGTGTGAGGAAGATGAGCTGGTTTTCCTATTTTCCAACCCTGAACAGAACTGAAACACTACAGTAAACAGTTCAGGTTCACACATTATTTTGAACTAAGTAAAGTCAACAACTGTGAACTGAAACTCAAACTCACTATGTATCTGTGCTGAGCAATAACAGAAACTGATAAAAGTGTATCTTTCATACAGCCCCTTAGACAAATTTGCTAAACGTCCACTTCCCTACCCTCCAAAACAGGCTCCTTTTCTACAGCACCAGTACAGTATTTATCCTTCCTGCTCTCTCCTAAGGCCAGTAACACCACTGCAGCTCTCAGAGGGCTTGTTCATCACAGATTTTTTTTTTCCCAGTGCATTTTTTCCTATCAGTGTAAACTGCTTGGCTTCATACCAGCTGCATACTGAGCTGTGAACAACCTTCCTAAAAAAAAAAAAAAAGGAAAGCAAAAATCCCAAATACCAAAAAGTTAGAATTAAATACACTGGTGTAAGTTTTGTGAGGACACATTCCTAGTCTAGCTCAGAAGCACCCACATAATTCCTTACTACCATCCCCCTCCTTCCAGTAGGGATCTGACGGTACACAGGACACCTTCTATAACTCCATGCTGTCCCCAGCAATTAGATGTTAATTTATATCCAAGTAATGAGGCTTCTCTACAACATTCTTACATATTTTATCATATGCCACCAAAAACATTAGGAAAAACACTCAAAAACCCAATTTGGTCATACATTTGCTTAGCAGATATCCCCTCTCATCCAACTTTTATGCCAACAGCTCAGTGATAATCACTTACTGAAATAAAGAGGGAAGTTCTAACACAGACAGCCACTGGGGTCACCAAAAAGGTGATGACAAGTTCAGTTCCCAATGTTGCCTGAATCCAAGGGAGATGTCTACCTTCCATCTACCACCTCTGACTAAGTTGCCCCCAAGGTGCTATTTCAGAAGATTAAGGTATATGTATTTCTCTGATGCCCTGCAACCTCAGCCAGCCCAGACAGCCCAACCAGCACCAGTACTGACTCTCACATGGGTAAGAACCTCAGCACACAAACCCAGCAAGTCACAATCTTTATATGAACAGCAAACCTAAACCCATCCCCTGTCTGAAGATAAGGCTGTGGAAACAGTAAATCAGTTTAACAGGCAAAATTTTCCAGAGAAAAGGAACACCTTGAATGTTCCACCCACTTTGTGGATGAAATATGAAGTCTGTTAATAAGGCAAACAAAGCAAATGTTGTTATGTCCATCTGACTGTTGCATACATTAGCATATTACACACACTAACTCATTCTTGACAGTGAATTAGTAGAAATAATTTCCCCTTTACCATAAATGGAAGCAGTAGCTTCTAGTTTGGAGAGCTCCAAAAACCACATTACCTTGATACAAATGCATTAAAAAAAAAAAAAAAAAATCAGTAAAAAGTCAAGTTTCCTAGAAGAGAAGGCTTTATCACCTGGATAAACTTGTAGTTTTTCTTCTCAGAGACAGTTTCAAGGTTCTTCAAGCTTGCACAGTAGTCGAGCTAAAAAGAAATACCCACAAAATATCACTGAATAGGGTCTGTCAAAGTAAATAAGCTAACTCAGATCCAACTGAATCATTAGAAAGTTTGAGAAAAAAGTAAAAACTACTTTCAACAGAGAAGCTGTTTTGCAAGCAGACAGTGAAGCTTTAAAAACAGAAAACTCTGAAAGATATTCTAAGGACAAAAGATCTTAAAAAGAAGTTTAGAACTTCAAAAACTTCCTTTTTTTCTGCATTTGTTGAGGGAGGGCACAGTGCTGTAGGGATAAACAGCAGTTGAAGGGTTTTGTTTGCATAAGAACAAACAGGTAGTCAAATAAGTAACAATCTATAGAAAATGCTATAGACTGCATTAAAAAAAATGTAAACAGTTTTCATATCAAGAATGAAAATAAACTACTTACCTTATCTAGATTTATAATCAGATAGTGTGGATAGTTTGTCACAAGAGAGACTACAACATGTGAAGCACTGCAGGGAGGAAAAAAAAAACATTTATATAGTTGGCTTTAAGGTAACAGAGAGATGACAAATTACAAAAAAGATTAGCAACATCAAAAAACTTCAGTGGAAGAGAGGGCTGTACTCAAAACAAGAGAAATATGAACTTAGATGTATTTTAGGACACATCAACATTATTCCACTGATAGTGTCCGTAACTGCATACTGTTATGAAACTAGAAAACAGATTAAAAGTTAATGTTGTAACAAAAGAAAGCAGCACTGCTCACAAACACCTAAAACACACCAAACAGTTATACACTACATTCAAGTACCATTCTACAATACTTCTATACTTTTAAGTCTATATATTAGGCAGAACTAAGCAGTCACCTGCCCTAAATCACAATACTGACTCTCAACACTCAACTCCCCACAAGTGCTCTAAGAAGAAATGAAATGCCACCTGGCAGTCTGGCAGGATCTTTGGCACAGTCACGTGTGCCAGGAAACTCCCTCCGAGTTCAGGTTCGGCAGGGTTAGTCACAGCCCCAGCCCCCCAAACTGGGGGATACACACGGACATCCAAACCTCTCACCGCTTCAGACCCTGAGCGGGCTAACAGGCTTAAGCTTATGATGGACACGAACTCCCTCTGCCTGGAGCAGAGGCCCCAGCACTGGGCGTGGAGAGGAAAAATCGCTCAGAGCACCGCCACCACCTCAGCCCACCCCCGACTCCTACCGCCAGCGCTGGAAGGTCCCTTTACCGTCCCGACGGGTGGAGAGCTGCCGGGCTCGCTCCCCAGCCCTTGCCACCTCAGGCCCCACGACACGAGTCAGCCACAGGC